TTTTAAACAAGAAAAGATGGACAGAGGGTTGTAAAATTTGGGTAATTTAAAAAGGTTTTAAAGCAAAAGTCAAGCCAGCCAGCAGCTCACCCTGGGCTCAGAGTCTGTTCCCTGTACCAGAACATTTGTTTGAAGATTATTTCCTCACCTCTCTCTTTTCCTGGCAGTTTATTAGCCTGAACCCTGTGTCCTACACCTGAGGAAGTTTATAGCAGTTGAAAGATGTTGGAAATTATTTCCAGGAGCTCTTCTCTTAACAAACCACCCACAGGAGTGCAGCTCCTGGCACTCCAAGCCCCTCTTCCCAAATCCTGGCTGTTCCAGTGGCTGAGCAGGGGCAGGCACTGGATCCATCACAGGAATGAGCAAAGACTCTGCATCAGGAAGGACATTCTCTAAAATGGATTCCAAAGTCATTGCAGCTGTGACAGCAACAATGGCACTGAGAACAGGATGTGCTTTTTCACTGGCAAGCCTCCCACAGGCTTTATCAAGAGCAGATTGGGCAGTCCCTGCATGTTCTAAGATTTCATCATCCACATTTTAGCTGTTTGCATGATCTGAGCTGAAGAGGAGGCCAGGATATCTGCTTTTTACCACATAGTAAAAAGTAGGAAAAAGAAATCAGAACTGATCTCAGCTCCCATTTCGATCTCCCTCCAAAAAAATACACAATAAAAGCAACTCATTCTATAAATGGATGCAAGGCCTAAAAGTCACCTTAAAAATACAAAATAAAACAAACCCCCCCCACCAAAAAAAAAAAAAAAAACACCACAAAAAAAAACTAGACAGGAAGGAAAAAATGGTAGGAAAGGAAAGTTTGTATCTAAAACCACCCCCCCCAAAAAAAAAAAAAAAACAAAAAAAAAACTAGACAGGAAGGAAAAAATGGTAGGAAAGTTTGTATCTGTACCTGCAGGTCTTTCTGATCTAGAAATTATTATCATAACTAACTCTTCTCTCACTCCTTTCTCACCTGATTTTGAGGCCCAACATTTCTGAATACTGGCTCATTTCACCTACTACAAGAAATGCAGCAGAATGAAACTTTAACCTTCATTAACAGGTTGGCCAAGAAAGAAACAACACCAGTGATTGGAATCAGGCCAGGTGATGTGATTCCTCTCTGCCTCAAAAGTTGCTGGATTGTTTTTTAAAAAAAAAACCCTCTTTGTTCTGTTTGTAGCTGATGTTCCTATTGTGACCATAAAAAGTGGTTTTACAGCACTAACAGCTAAATGCAAATAACAGCAGCTGTGTTTCAAGCAACATATGATGTATCTATTTGATAATTTAATAGCAACTCTAATGTAATATAAGTAGGAAAATTAAATATAGTAGAGGAGAAAGTATATTTGTATTTGGCAAGCTCCAGCAGCCAGACAAAAATAATGCAACAGAGCATGATTTTTCCAGGCTGTTTCAGAGCACTTTAAGAAAAGTGTTCACATTTTTCAAACTGAGCCACATTCAATTAACTTCTCTTCTAGTTTCCCTGTATAAATGATTCAAACTTACAATAAAAACCATAAAATAATGGTCAGGGCTCTGGTGCAGAAGCAGCATTGGTAGAAATGGTTTGTGGGCACCACAGCATGGGCCACTGTGTTTTGACAACTTTTCATTGCTCAATTTACAGCATTTTAAGGTTATAAACAGAATTTTGGTAGATCCAAGCATAATTCCCAACTCACATTGACCACCTCTCCATCTTTATGAAGATGTTTATTCGGAATTCTGCATCCACTGCCATTACTTTATGGCACAGAAAAACTGGGTACAGCAGGAAATTCTGGAAGGCCTCTCCCAATGGAGTAAAGATTTCTTTTAACCAAAAATCAGCACATCTGCAGTAAATTTAACACAGGGAAGAACCACAACAAACAAAGAAAAAAAAATTGATGGAGTTTTATACTATTTCATCTTGCAAAGTAAATATTAGGAAAAATGTAGAAGTACCACAAGAAATGCTGCCCCAAAAAAATAACCAACAAAAAATTATGTTTGTATTCTTCAACACAAACATTGGGTAATTTTTGTTGCATTGAGCTCAGAGAAATATATGATAGACACACACTGGGCCAAATCCTGAAGGATTTGCTGAGGAGTTTTTGTTAGGTTTGAGGTTTATTTCCAGGTTTTTAGTTAAAATAAAACAGAATCTAATTTATACCTACCAAGGTTTCACAGCTCATACTGATGAATATTTGTTCCTTAACTCCTCTGTTGTAGTTCCTTTGGAAATCAGCATTTTAAATACCTCCATTTTACTGAAATAAATCTCAGTTTTTCTTTGAGGGTCTTTACATCCCTCAATATATGGAAAATCAGTTTTGGTTTTGGAGGCTTCCATTCCTTGGGCTTGTTACCTAATCTGTATTATTAACATAAAATAGATTATTATGTTTCCATCCCTTACCAAAAGCATAAGCATATTAAACAACCTAATTAATCCTAATTAACTAGAAAGTCACGGAACAGTTCTCTTGACCAAAATAATTTAGAAATGCCCTTGTGTTGATGGCTTGCAATTTGCAGGATTCATTTTTGAAATGAAAAAGACAGATGTATTTGTCTCTGATGCAAATGGTCTGGATAAATTAAAACTAATTGGGTTTATGTGTTCCTGATAATTAAATGAGATGCATGTAAGCTATATTATGATGGAGGAAAGAACAACTCTTAATTTTTATAAATGAGATGCAGCAAACAACAGCATCTTAAAGTCTATTAAAGGGTAAAACCAAAGGGTAAAACAGAGCTCTGCTCTGGAGCAGGGAGCAGAGACCTTCACAGTGTTTGCAGTGGAATTCATCCCTTGATGGTTGAAAAGAAACATCAACAAGAAAACCTCAATTTTCACTGTCCAATCTTTGCCCATCCCCGTGTGCAAAGCAAGCTGAGAAACACTTGGGGAGGTTTCTGTGACTCAGAGGAGTGGCCCTTCTACATCAAAATAAAGTCTGGCAGCCAGACAAACAGCAGCCAGTTAAAACATTCCAAGGACTTCCTGGTAAGTTGGTCTGGATTTTGAGCACGAGAAACATTCATTTTACACTGCAAATGAGCTCATTAATGGGAATTTGATTGTTTGATGAGAAGCAAGCACATAGATGTGGGTCAGGATGTGGCATCACAACACAGCCCCTGGCAGTGTCAGGCTGATCATTCACCAGCCCCTCTGACCTTCCCTGAAAGGCACTTGATGAAGACAAGGGGAATAGGAGTTTGGGAATTCCAGCACTTGGAATCCTGTGGCATTTGTGTTATTCCCCTTCACACTGAGAGTAGAAAAGGGCCACATACAACAAGTCAGAGACAAGCAGGTGGAGTCTGCCAGGCTCCTCACCAGGAATCCTAAAATACTTTTATATATAATGAATGTGATGCTCTCTCTCAAAACCCAAACTGATGGCCAAAGTAATTTCTCATGATTTATGTTTTATACAATCATGTTACCAAAAGTCAATGTACACAAAAAGACAAACTCACCCCAGAAGCTCCAAAAAATAAACTGGTCTTTCATTTTCCCCCTCCTCCTTTTCTCTTTCTCTAAATGGACTGGAAAGATGATTTTTCTGTGCAAATCCCTCAACACTTGGGTATGGATCAAACATCCCTACAAAAGGCACAGGTAGAAATAAAAATAAAACATTAAAAAAATTAATATTATCATTTGTAGATTGTATTGATATCAAGGAATCATAGAATGGCTTGGGTTGGAAAGGACCTTAAATATCATGCAGAGAATTACATTAAACCACATTCATCATAATAAACAGCTTTCAGTCTTCCAACACTAGATTTGATCTGTTAGCAGTAAATCTATTACAGAACTGCAGCAACTCAGATGCTCTTTTTGGTCACCTGTTTAGGATATCAGTTCCACCACTATAACTAAAACAGAGGGGAAAAGAAACAGCACAAAACATCTTCAAATGTTTTAAACCAGGAAGACAAAACTGAAATATATTAAAATCACCACTGCCTAAACAGAGATCACCAATACATTGAAGGGAGCATATTTTAAGCCCAAATTTCATTGCAGGTGTTATCAGAAGTTTTTTGTTTTTTTTTTTCCTTTCAAGAAAAAGGGATGGTAAGGGAAAACTTTGAAAATCAGATGTTGAAAGCACTCAGTGACTTTCTGGTTATCTCCAACAAGCCCAAATTTAAAGGATTACCTTGCCTGCTGAGGGCTCGAGGCACACACTGCAGCAGCAGCTGCTTCATCAGTTTTCCTGTTAAAAAAGGTTGGGAACAGCATGGAAGCAGTCAGGCTGTCTGTGCCAGTGGAATGAGTGTAATAGGAATATTTGGAAGAGTAACTGAAAAAGAAAGGTTACATTGATGAGAGAAAAGCACTGGCCTCCATCCCCAAAGTAGAACTCCTGCTCTGTGATTTTATTCTCCCAATTTCTGACAAAGAACTGCTGTAATAAAACATCAATATATGGTAAACTCTATAAAGAAAACTGAGGTGGAAAATATGCCCTCACCTTAAAGACAAGAAATGAGGCAGGAAATCAAATCAATGGTCTGTTCAGCCTCATGCCTCTAGTTTGGATGAATTAGGGTGGCTGAAGTACTTTCTCCTGTAAAAGAAATTGTTGCAAAGATTACAGTGTTGTCTGATATTAGTGCAGAGCTGCTGGGGGGGTGGGCTCAGATAACACAGCAGAGTCCTGGGGCGTGGGGAGAATCCAAACCAGACTGGGTTTAACTGCCAGAAACCAAATCAGAGACTGGAATGTTTCCACTGATCCATTAGTGAAGGGCACCTGCCACCTCTGAACACAGAAAAGCAGAATTTAGAGCTTCTCTTCCTAAAGGAAAGTTTCTGAGGATAACAATTTCCATGAATTTTAGAGCCCTGCCAGGCAGTTCACCCATAAACATTGAAGAACAATTGTCAGACAAGAGCTTCTAATTAATCCCACTTTCAAACTTTCCCAACACAAAAAGACAAATATTTGTCACAATTTTTCATACACCTTTATTATCAAAACTAGGGGAGAAGGGGGAAATTTTCCTTAAAAAACACAGTGAAGGAAACAAAAGGAGGAAAGAGTCAGGCACATGAAGGGAAAGAACTTTCAAGCTAAGCAAGCTGCTGTGTCTGAGAATCCTAAAGATGTTAGCAAAAGATACCATTTAGGTAATTTCAAAGCCACTCAATTACAATTAAGCATCTCCTCAACAAGAGAGCAGAAAGTCCCCAAACCCTCTTTACATCAAAGCACCACCTTGGCCAAATGACCTTTTACAGAAATTATATTAATTGCATTAAACCTTACACTTTCTAAGGAGGAGGAAGAAAAAAGCTTTTTCTACAACACAAATACAGCAAGTTCAAAAGGACAGCTGGGGCTGTTTGTTAAAATTCAAGCCACCCAGGATGATTTGAACTGCATTTCCTCTTTGTTCTTTTAATTATCAAAGGTCTGTAAGGCAGTAACTTGCAGCACAGCTGGATTTGCCTGGATACAGATCCCTCTGAACTGGAATTTTGGAGCAGGGAACGAAAGGGAATTCACTCCCAACTGATTCTGAGCAGAGGTTTGCTGTGGTCTAGGCTCCCTGCTGGAGTCAGGAGTGTGGAAGGAGAAGTTAAATGTACAGTGGAAAGCTGTTACATTCCATTCTTCCATTCCCTTCCAAAACATCTGACAAAATGAACTTGACTTTAGAGACTCTTCCTGTGCTTTTCAGCACAAACCTGATCATACAGAGACCCCAGTTCATCCCATTAATGCCCCTGGTGTGCCACCTCCCAGCTTGGCCACATAAAATCACATTTGGAGACAAAATTACACCTGCAGACAAGAAAACTTACATTGAATTCAAAATAAGGAATAAAACTATCCTAAAAATACAGCACAAGATAAGTTTTTATTCTGTTATTTCTTCATAGTAAGAATTATTAAAAAGCCAAATCAAGGTATTTTAAAGAAGTTTTAATGTCAACTTTACAGAATATTCCTTAGTAAATGATGTCTTGAGCAGAACTTAAAACGCCTCTTGATCTTCTTGGTTCTGAACCATACAAAGGTGGAGACTGAACTGAGTTTTCCATGTTCACTGCAATGCCAAAACCTGCTGTTTGTCCTCCAGAATTGCTTCCTCAGCGTCCATTTGGCTTTCCTCCCAGTCCCTTAAAAGAAACACACCCCAGTGATTTCCAGTGCCTGCAATTCCCCAAGTTCTCTGCTTTAAGCCTTGCTGACATATGTTCACATGTGTTAAACTAAAAGGCACCAAAAAAAAAAAGCTTATACTGGAGATGTTGGCAGTACAAGCTGCTGTAATTCAGCTTTTCCCTCAGTTTCTGTCACAAATCTGTGAATCAGCTCTAATCACACAGCCTGGAGTTCCTTCAGTGCTCCTCTGACTCCTGCTGGGCAGGAGATCCCAGTAAAAAAAAACAGTGAGACACCGAACTTTAGGAATTCCCTTTTTCCAAGTCATCTCAGTGTCCAAGGCAAAATAACAAACACATGGTGGGTCACAACCCAAGAATGCAGATGATTTTAAGAGATTTACCTCATAAATCTCAGTGCTAATGCATTGAAAAACCTACAATCCCCAAATTTATCATTTGGAGTCTAAAGAACAAAACACATCCCTCAGTTCTGACTCTGAGCTGCCTGAGAAGGGGCTTAGAACACCAAGACACCACAAGGTCATGCTGACTTTTGTAATTAGCAGGTAATGCACAATTAGAGAGTTAAGACTGTTTTTATTTCAGTTCTGACATGGTTGGCATCTTGAATAATCTAAAATGTCATAAAAACACAGCCAGCAAGTTGAACTCACCCAAAAATATCAAATGTGTCATGGTCTTTCAGCTCCAGGGTGTTCTGCACATCTGCATTTCCAGAGATCTTCTCCATGGCTCTGCTGGAGATGGTTCCATCTTCACAAGCTAAGTTGGAATTACTTTCATGGCCTGAAATGTCTTAGGGGCAAACATGAACAAAAAGATGCAGTATCTCCACTATCAGCTTGAAAAAAACTCAAAATATTGACAAAAACTTGCCATTAAAAGTCTCAAACCAACTCTAGCTAATGAAAAATATCACTAAAATTAAGGTTGTACTTTCCAATACATTTTTAACTTCTTTATTACCACCTATAAATTCACCACCTCATACTTCAGAAGTATCTTTCAAAAAAGAAATACATGATTTAAGTATTCTGCACAATGCCACAAATTTTGTGTGAGGGGAGACACTGAATGATTGCAGAAAGCTCTAAAGTTTGGTTCTTTTTTTTTAATTTAAACTAACATGAATAAAATATAGACCCTTTCCAATATTTTCCTTGGATTCAAAACTGACAGCTTCGATTTCTGCACACAGCATTATTTAAATTAAAATGTCAACCTGGTTGCTCATGATGTGAGAAATAATGTAGAGCTACATTTCTTGGGATGGAGACAGTTGAAATTGAGAAAGGTAACACAAAAGTGCAGACACAGTTATTACTTGTGTCCCTGTTTCTTAGAGTTCATGTAATCAGACTTGCTTCTGTAGCAGAAGGAATCCTTTATTAGATTACTCCCAAACTGTACCAGAGACTACCAACACACACAAATACAGAAACTTCTTCTAGAGGGTTTATTCTCTAAATATTCAAGCTAAGAGGGGAGTAAAAGGGCAGCAGCAGGAGCAGAAAGTAAGCTAAATAAAAAGAATTCTTGGTGATAGTTGAAAAGAGGTAACTTTAAACTCCAAAGCCTATTCAAAAAAAAGCATTAAAATGCAAATACATAAAGAAACAACTACAATAAAAAACCTGTTTAAAAAAAAACACAAAAAAACCACACACACACACAAAAAAATACACAAATGAAGATATAGAAATGACAAATTCAGAGTGTCTCCATCTTATACAATTAAAATTAACCTAATTAGGAGCTCAGAACTGTGGCTGTCCCTACCTGGCCATGGCATCCATGCTGCCATCAGATGGGAAAGTTGATTTTGGGCCTGGAAAGCATTTGCAGCTCTGTTCAGCTGACTTTCCAAGACACCTTGAACTACAGAGTCATCAGCATATTCACTTAGGCTCCTCTCAGAAACCCACTGTTCTTCTCCTGAAACCCAACATTATTAGAGGAAATTATCTGCAGGTTTTGTGTTAATATGCATTTACTTGTCCTATTTTTGCTGCATTTAATGTGTGAATTAAAGAAGCCAGGAAACAATTTTTTACAGATATATAACAGACTAAAAGCCTGATTTCAAGTGATATATTTAATCAGATTAATGATGTTCACTTGTTGTTTCATATACACCATCAAAAGCAATAGGAACCTTATGGAACTCTATTATCAGGGGATATATTAATAAATAATTCAATTTCTATTGTAATATATAATATATATTTATATATTATACATAATACATACTATAATATATAATCATATACAGTTTAATCATAATGATAAAGATTAAATTTATGGCACTAGATTGCCTCAGAGTAGGGAGTTTATTTTATCCTTGCTCAGCACCACTTGTGTGGCATGACTGTCACCCTGAAGTGATTCCTAAAGCAAGCTGGATGGAACTGAAAAAAAAGATGATAAATATCTATATTTTTGAGGATTCATTCACACAACAGTACCTGGAAAAGGGATTCTCCTGTCCCTAGGGCTGGAGGCAGCAGCCAGGGAAGAAGGTGCCTCCAGCTTTTCTTGTTTAGGGTTTGCACCTACAACAAAGAAACCTTCAAGTCCCTGATATGATGTAGAACCACATTTCTGTCTTTTGGCTACATCCTGTAACTTGAATAAAACAGAGAAATTACAAACAGGACAGGAAACAGGAATTTTTATAATTGCCCCTGCAAGTTCAGATTAATAAAATGCTCCTTTCATAGAACTCAGACTGATATTGACAGCCAGCTGTAATAGATATTCATGAGGATGATGTTTTTTGCTCAAGATATGCTTTAAAACCCTAAAAACTTGTCATGTTGTAAGAGCTCGAGTCTGTTCTTTCACTAGGGACATGAAAAGCAAATTTTCTTTGTGTTCACTTTTGGGTCCAGAAAGGAAGGTGATCACTGTTTACCAATGACTCCAAATCAATGTCCCAACCTTTTCTATCTTTTTTTGCTTTGATTTTATTTTCAGCAAATGAGGATCTGAATAATTTCTTAGATAAGACAAGGCACCCTTTTTTGGTCATTCAGACAAGAGGTGAAGTACTGTTAACACAAACATGAGAAGATCTGCTCCTCCAACAGCTTTTATGCCTGACACAGAGTTTGTTATATTTTCCTTTTTTTTTTTTTGAACATTAACAGAAAACTGGCACCACAAAGTGGAGCCTTTCATCCCTTACATATCAAATATGGCAGGCAGTGATATGCCCTAAACCTAAAGCAGATAAAGCAACTTCCCTAATCTATTTAGCAATTAAAGACACCATAGCTTACTGCTGAAGATTTTGTAGTTACAGGCAAGACCAAGCTCTGGCTGTTGCAGACCATGCCCAGTTCTTGTGGCTCCCTCCTGCTCTCCTGCAGTTCTGCCTCCAGATCTCTGCTGCTCTTCAGTTCAGCCCCAATGAGATCTTTGCTCACTCCTTCAGTGGGGTCAGAGATCTCCTCGGGAAGTTCACAGGAGCTCAGTGATCTTCTCCCTGCCTTTGGTTCAGTGCTCTCCTCCTGCTCAGCATTCATTTCAAGACCACTGCAGACAATCAGATTTTCTATAGGAGCACAACAAAATCATGAAAATACTTGTAATGAATATTAATTATAACCTGCAAATCAACTAAGTTTTCTTCATGAACTTAAAATACAAAATCTTCACTAAAGCTAAAGGCAATTGTGGAAATTTAATAAAATTTCCTTAAAAACATTCCAAGGTTTGAAATCCATCTTATCAGGCTGTGAATGATTCTGTAAGTTGGTTTTCTTTGTTATAGGTATTTATCATAGTGCTCACACAGCCATGAAACTGTAATCAAAGGAAATTGTGACAGCCCAGAGAATGGGACATAATTTAAGGATCTTTATTTTTCAGCCCACTGTAGTTGATTATTCCATCCTATATGAGAATGACAAACTGAACACATTTATGTATTTTCAACAAAGAACTTAAGAACTTCTCACATTTACCTTGAGAAATTTCTTTAGGAGAAACAGGATTTCTGTGGAGAGGCAAAAGTAAAAACTATTACATTTCAGCTGAGGAAGTTAAATGGAAAGAAGACTTTCCCATTACACCCATTTTTCTTTTAAGGGGCTGGTTCTGTGTTGTTCTGGTCTGCAAATGCTGAGGTTTGATAGAGGAGGGGAAAAGACCAGAAGGATACAAAAAGCAAACCAGGTCACAGTTAATCCAATAAACGTTGGGAGATCAGAAGAATTGTAGATGCATCAGTTATTGTTTTTGTCTGGAATTACAAGGTTAAGAGTATCTTCAATTTGCACAGCACTGATCAATGGCAAAATCTGTATGCGAGTTCCTGCTCCTGCTAAGAGCTCAGAAAAGAGAATTTCACTAAAATTCAGGGCAGGCAAGTGCAAAGAAATGCATCTTACCCATATGGGTTAGGATTTCAAAGTGATGCCTCTCTAGTTACAGGCAATTAATATTCCTTAATGGCCTTGAAACACTGTACACATAATAACTCAAATCTAACTGCCTGCAAAGAAAAGCCCCCATTTCTTAGGAACTAGCACAAATTTGGGATTATTTGCTTTCCTCTTCCACAATCTCTGCATTTCTGATACCTTCCACACTCCAGTGGGTCAGTTTTTCCTTGCTTATTCATCCCCACATCTCCAGTTTCCTCCAGTGTAGAGTCTGAAGATTCTCCCGAGTCCTCGCTCTGAGACTGAATAAAGAACAAAAATAAAGAGACCCACACTCAGCAACAAATTAAACATTTAAAAATAAAGAAAAAAATTAAGAGTGATGAAAAGGTGTCAGATTTATTTGTGTATAAATCCCATATAGTGCAGATCCCTGAATGCAACAGAAAAAAAGTACAGGGAACTTTTGGAATGATCAGTTCTCCACATTTGTATGGAAAACAAACAATGCACCAGAATTCTTCCTTATTGGAAGTTATTTAACTGTTGCTACTTTAAACATTTACCAGATTAAAACTTGAACAAATCAGTTCATTGTTGAGACTCCTCAAGTCCTTTATCAGTACTCACATCATCAAGAAATTCAATTTTCAAAGAGGACTCTGCATTTTCAGAAACAGTGTTGGATTCTTCAGCTCTATAAATAGATGCCCAGTATTTCTTCACCTCTTCATCTGTGAAATGTAAATAATTTCATGCACTTCAGTTTTTCCTGTTCAAAACACACTCAAAATACAACATTTTTATTCATTATGGAAAACCCACAAATTTCTCCTTTTATTATTGCTGCTTTTAGCAAACTGGTAAAGAGTGGAAATGCTCAGCAATCATAGAAAAAATCTCAAGGAAAAGGTATTTTAGACTGAATAAAAAAAATCAATCTGTTACACCTGTTAACTCCTCAATGTCATCATCATCATCATCTCCTTGTCCCCCTCCTCCAGCCCCAGCCTGTTGGACACTCGGGGCTTGCACAGGCCCTGAATCTTTCATGCAACTTGCAAAAAATTGATCAACTGGAGTTCTGAAACAGAAAGAAAAAAAAATCGATCTTAAAAAGTCATTTTTAAATATATCACCAAAAAAAAGGAAAAACCCTACCAGCCAATTTACTGCAGCAGCCTTAAGTCCTCCTAACTTCATTGAGGTGACTTTGCTTCTCAAGAACTCATAAAACAACTCTGTAATGCCCACAAAAGAATCCTGAAGATTCCTTTTCTCTAAATCCCTGTAGCAAATGCCCCAAAATCAAGTAACTAAATATCATTACCAGTCTTCAAATTCTACAATCAACTGAGCAAAGAGAATCTCTCTAAATACTCCCTCTGCAGGAATTCTGAACTATGAAATGATCAAGTCTGGTTATAATTATCATTTTATTAAAATAAAGCCCTGTGTTCACACTGCCCTTGACTCTTGCTAATATATCTAATATTTCAAAAGTTTCATCTGGATTTTTGTTAATTAAGTATTTCTGAATTCTTTCACTAGGGGCAGCAAATTCAGTAATACCTTCTGTATTTCTTCAGCAGGAGTTTCTCCATGTAGCTCAGGCCATCCTTCTGGAATTGCACATGGATGGGTTCCTTCAGAGCACTCACATTGGTCTGTACCTCACAATTCCCCACAGCTTCTGTCAGAATTATTTTTAAAAAATTATACAGCTGTTCAGGCTTATAAACAGGCTCTTTACCTACATTATTCTTGAATGGACATCACATTTGGGTCTGTGCTTAGTTCAGTCTTTGCATAATTCCAAAATTTAAATGGCCAGCAGTATTATATTTACAAAACACAGGCAGTAATGGGAGCAGCCATAAAAACTCATTTATTACAGATTACACACTGGAACCATAGAAAGAGTGGAGGGACAGAAATCCATGACTCCACAGATCAAAATCCCACAGAAAAGAAATAAAAAAAGAAAAAAATCAGTTTAGCATTATTTTGTACAAAAAAGCCACAGAGAAAAACCACCATCCATGGACTAGAGGAACAAGACACAGATTGGATTTGCACAAATCCAATCAGACCAGAGGAATTTTCCATATTTTTCCATGCATACTTCAGCTGATTGCAGCTTTTCATTGGGACAAAGAAATATTAAGAGCCTGTGGAAGGCAAGCAGAAAATGTACTTGGATAGAACACACAAAATCCTGAGCCCTGCACGTTCCTTGGCTCAGTTTAAAACTGGTTTTATGCTGGAGCATTGCAGTTCATGCTGAAGTGCCACGTGAGACACAAAGCCATAGGAAGGTTTAGGGACCTGGGCTGGACATCCTGGCCACTGCCAGAGATGATTAAAAAAATTGAGCTAAACACTCTGCATATCATTTAAAAAAACCTTCAGAGATGATTGTTATTAATAAAGGCACACTGAGAAAGAGTCAAATTGGTTTTCTTAGCTTCACATCATATCTGCCTTCATTAATCTAAAAACTAACTCCCCCAAATAGCTCCTATTGTATTTTAAAAGTCATAAAATAAACCATACCTGATGGGACCTCACTGGCACATGGATCTCTTCCAGGATCACTTTCACCTTTTCTCCACTGAAGCAAAGCTTCCTGAAAAGACTTTGCAGATGCCTTCTCATCAAAGGCACCACTCAGCAGCAATCCTTTGTCCTGCTTTCCAGGGCTTGCAGAGGCTGATGCTGAGGCTGGTTCCTAAATCAGTTCCACAACATTACTGATAAAGCATTTCTGAGGAGCAGCAACATTTTTAGTGTCAGCTGTGGAACTGCAGCACTCACTTTTCTGGGCTCAGCTGAGCTACCTGGTAATCAAGATCACTCCCATTTTATGTGATCTTGCTCACAATTAACTGCAAAGATCTATCAAGAGCTAAATAAGAAAGACAAAAGTTTTTATTACCAGACACACAAACCCCCTACTTTTACAGGTTTCTGGTATTAGAGAGCAGTGGCCATGGACACCCACATCCATGTTTTGGATATAAAGCCATGGACACCACATCCCATGTACAAGGGGATTAAATGAGGCATTTAATGCAGCATGTCTCATTTAAAGGAATTTATGAGCTATGTGCTTTACCAATGAGGAGCTGCTTATTGAAGCTTCCCAGTGGACAGGGGCACATCTGGAGAGGTCAGCAAGAGGAAAATGGTCATTTAAGGGGCTAACTGGGTAGCCATTAATACAGCAGTCCAGGGAAGTCCAAACTCTAATTGATGAGATTGATTGAAAACAGCTACAAAGGGAGAAAAACAGTCCTGCACTGGGACTTGAGTGATTTCTCAACCTGTATTAGAACAAAGAAAATTACTCTGGAGGTTTTCATTATCATTACTCTTGGATGACTATCAAGCAAAACCACGGAATAATTTATGTATTTATGGGAAAGATCCTTTGCCTACACATTCTCCAAGTGAGGGACCTCAGCAGCAAAGGTGAGAGTCAAACACCAGCAGCCCCTACACACTCAGGATGTTGGGAAAACTTCTTTCTACCTGCCCTGTGCTTTAACTGATCCAGGGACTGGTTGTACATCCAGTGGCACTTGTGACTTGCAAATGCAATAAAAGGTGGCTGTTAAAGGTGTCAGCGTCTGCACGTCCAGGGCATTCCCCAGTCCTCTTACTGCAGTGCGGGGTGAGCACAGCACAAAGCTCACTGTGTGAACACGGGATCAGCAGGGAACAACTCCAGCGACTCTCAGCTCAATTCCCCGCACCAGCAGGGATTTCCAGCCCAATATTCCTGGGGCTCATCCCCTGCCAGCCGGGATCCCCGGGATGCGGGAGCGCTCCGGGATGCGCAGGGCTGGACCGTCCCGCGGGGGCGCAGCGCCCTCGGGCGGCGATCCGCGGCACTGCAGCCGCTCCGCGCCCGCCAGGATCGCTCCCCAAAATCCGCTGGGAAAAACAAAACGCACGCGATGGGAAAAACAAAACGCGCACGACGGGGAAAGCAAAACGCGCACGATGGGGAAAAACAAAACGCGCACGATGGGGAAAGCAAAACGCGCACGGTCGGCGCTGCTGGGAGCGAGCGTTAGTGAAATTGGGAGCACGGCAGCAAAATCCCCGCGGTTTTGTTGGCAAGTTATCTTAAATTCCAAATCCGCACATATTTTTCCCCGAAGGAAAAGCATTACAAAGACACACACAAAATATTAGTTCCTTTTGAGGGTGAGCAGCTCCAACTGGTTTAATAAAATAATGGAAAAAAAATCACATCATGTGGTGTATCATCGTGTATTCTAGGCGGGGGATCTCTCTAAGAGATTATTTTTTTTAGAATAAAAATGTTATTTTCTTATTCAACAGTGGAAATTCACATAAATAACTTTAAAATCGAGATGTATGAGGCTAACACCACACTTTGGAGGCTGGGTTTCCTATCTATTATTCCTATTTCCTACTTGCTAAAAGACAAAAATACCCTTATTAAATAGAAATCACCTCATAGTTGCTAATAGAAATTTCCACTCTAACACAGCCAACAAGGTGCCAGCCTGAAAATCAGTCAGAATTCAACGCGTGCCCTGGGCTTTATGTAAGGATTTAAAATTCCAAGACATTCATGGACCACTTAATTTTGGCCCCTTTGCCTGCAACCACACATCTTTAATCACAGAAGTGTTCTTTAGTTAAGGATGAGATCAGCCTCCTTCAGCCATGGCCACACGCTGGGCAAGTTAAAGAATTTATTTAAACTCTGTTTTTATTAACTGTTATCAGTTAAAGAAGAGGTCACAGTTACACGCTGGGCAAGTTAATAAAAACAGAGTTTAAATAAATTCTTTAACTGTTACCAGTTAAAGAAGTGGTCACAGTCCTGACAACAGAACCATTTAATCTGTTTCCTTGCATTCAGGGAGATCAGTCTGTAAGTACAGGCACTAAGTAATTATTAGAGAGCAAGAAAAATGTGTGCCTACATACTGACACAAAAAATTCCACACACATTAAATTGTGTTGCTTGAAAGTTGTTTTTAACCATTTACTTACCAGCAGCCCACCCTTAATTTCAGGTGGTCGACAGGCCATCCCCTTCACTCCCAATTGTTCATGGGCTACATTTCCTCTTTCAGGCTTAACTGGTTTTTTCACTGGCTCTGAAACAAAGCAACAAAAATCACAACTAATCCAGTGTTCCACTATGTTTTCTTCAGTGTTTAATCACAGCAACCTCTATGAAGCAATAATCTATCAGAAGTTTAAGTTTTATTTGGTTAAGAAAGATGTCTTTACCTTGAACATGCTTGAGTAATTGTAACTTCACATTTTGTGGAGAAACCTAGAGGAAAGAATATTTATATATATCTGTATAAGGTTCTAATGCTAATGAATAAAGAGTAAGTTTTACAGAATAAAAATTATTTTAGGGAAATAGGGCATGCATTTAAAGAGAATACTCCATGTATTGTTCATGACAGCCATGAAGTGCAGAACCAGTGTCCCTCCCCAGATATGAAACATTGTCCACGTGGTACTTCCATGATCTAACATCCCAGTAACTGATAATTTTCAGCATTTTAGCTCCTCAGTTTTCCCCTGCAGAGTTCACCCTGCTGCCTCACTAGCCCTCACTCACCCCTTATTTTAATTTTGCTGTTTTTAAAGTTCTGCCCTGTTCATCTCGTCAGCCACCCCAGCTGAAATTTGAAATCTTTGAAGTAGCAACAGATCAGAGTTCCTTGTCTCAGAGAAAGGGAAAGCAAAGAGGTAGGTAAAGAAAACCTTTTCATTCTGATCCTCTCCTCTCACAGATAATAAGGCAATTTTGAGTTCTCATTTTCTGCCAGTTAAAAAAAAATTGCCACACACTTTTCCATTTGTACATACTGAATAGAAAACAGATTTTCAAAGATTTAGCAGGAAAGTTTTACATCCCTTCTTTTAGGTCTGAGCAAAGGTGTCATAGAACAAGAGTCAATATAACTGAGTTAAAGAAAAGACTTCAGCTGTGGTGTATTTTATCTGGGAGGGCAGAGAATTTGCACTCAAAGTTTCACCCAAAGCCTTTCAGATCCATCATGGGCAGCAGCCAGCCAAAGGCAGGCTCCTGATGACTTCCACCAGTGCCACCATTCAATCTGTAGGAGCAGGGATAATTTACTGTTTATTGCAACTGAAACCCCAACAGCTCAACCAAAAAAAACTTGATGTTCCTCCAGCTCAAAGGGAGCTTGGCATGGAAAAATGAGTAGTCAGGAATTTTACTCAGATAGGGCTCAACCTTTTGGTTTTACAGTGTTTGAATTTTCCTGCTCTGCAGCATAAATTAGTTCTAAATCTTGTTTTTCTTTAAATAGCTTTACTTGCAAATATGGTTTCCTACCTTCTTCCTGTTTTCATTATTTGGTGCCACAACTCGGGGTTGGGGGGTCCTTGGTCCTGCCTGCCCAGATTTCCAATGATAAGCACCTAACTTCCTACAAACCAAGGCAAGAAAAGACTTCAAAATTAGGCCTTCTGCAAGCAAGAGAAGCACTTTTTTCCTTTAGCTTGTTAAATATGAACATCACAAAAATAAAATTCTTCTCTATAGAACAATTTCCCAAAGCACAAATACTCAAATATGAACATCACAAAAATAAAATTCTTCTCTATAGAACAATTTCCCAAATGTGCTCCATTGAAACCTGCTTCAAGTCCACTTTAAAAGCAGTAAATACAACAAATGTGTGAGAAAGTACTTATTTTTAAACCATTAAATTGGTCCAAGTTCTTAAACTTAAAAAAAAATCTTATCAATTCTCAAAGGTTGGTTTCAGAAGAATAAAAACAAAAGTACATTTCACGTGAGCATTCACTGTCCCAATTTATTGCAGGACTTCATCCAGCACTGCTAGAAATGCAGGAACTCTCAGATCCTCTCCAGCCCAAACCACTCCATGATTCCAGTGGTGCAAATGCCAGAGCCTCCTGCCCTTGGAGCTCAGCACAGCAACCCTAGCAGGGGCTGCAGGTACAAAGCCTTGAGAGCAAACCAGAATACCATGGAGAGAAAAGTGCCACACATCACCTGGAAACCACTGCCCCAGCAGCTCAGGGCAATGCTCACAGAGCTGCCAGCAGCTCAGCAGCACCAAGGGAGCCAAATCCAAGGCATTTGCATTCCCAGGGACAAACACAGCAGGCACAAACTCAAGGAAAAGGAAGCAGATGTTGCAGGAATTTGCCAGCATTCAGAGTGACTCAGATTTAAACCTCACCCCTGCATTTGCCTCATCACACTGTGCTTGGTTCCAGGCCCTGTTTGCCATCATGCAGGAGAGGCCTCCCTGGGAGGCCACACAAATGTGAAAGGGGATCAAAAATAACAGCATCCTCTGCAGAAACCTCAGAAATAAACAAGGGGGCAGGAGAAACTACTCTGTCTCCTGCTGGAAAACTAAGGTGACAAATCCAGCCAGTCAGAGGAAAAAGGGAGAAGGAATAAACGATAGGGAAAACAGATCAAATATCATATGGAAATTCCAAATTAACAAAGTCATGAGGAAGCAAGTTTAACATTGGGAAGAAAGATTGGAGAGGGGAGACTGAATATAATTGTGAATTCCACACTTTACAAGAGATCCCATGTGGGGAGTTGGAGGTGTGGAAGGAGGATCTCATTGGATTCCTTTTCTCCAAAGAGAAACTGAACCTACCTCCTCTCTTCTTTCTCTCTGCTCATGTTTGACTGCAGCTGCAATAATCTTCTCTCCATCTCTTTGTTTTCTGTTTCTAACTGAGCTTTCTCCAACTGCAATTCCTTGACAGTTCTGGAGGAAATAGTGAAATATTTGTTAGGAGTCACCTGGAAGTCAGTAAGGTACCTGAAGAAGTTTAAAGCAGAAAAACAGAAGCTGGAAAATGTCTCATTACAGCCATGTCCCTCCTTTATCTCCCAGCAGGACTGAGAACAGCTCTGGAAAATTTGGGATAGGTTAAGTGCAAATTCCAACAAAAAACAGATACAATTGTGCCTGTACTCAGAAAGGTTTGGGGTTTAATTATATTAAAAGAAACACTTCACTGACTTCTTTAGTATGCTTGTATTATCCAGTGGATACAAAACCTGTAACTTAATCAGGAAGTAGATTAAAGCCTGAGAAAAGAAAGGCTTGTGGATAAAAGCATGGGGAAATGCTAGAAAAGAAACACATCATGATTCTTCTTGTTCTTCCACTCTTCTAGTTAATGATGCATTAAAATTTATTAAAAATTATGAAAACACATCTCAATCCCAATCAGATTGAAAGCACTTACTTTGTTTTTAATCTCACTGAGGTTCCAGCTTTCGAGCCTGGGAGAATTACAAAATCATTGACATTCATGATGCCCAGTATAACTTCTCCTAAAGAAGAGAATTTCAATGATTTAGAGTTAGGAACCTGTTGAAATGGGAATTTGATTGAAATTAAAACAGTAAAAAACTCATTACACATCCAAAAATATTCATATATAGAGGGAAATGGAGCGCAAAACTTGTTTGTATGAAGTGCCAATAAAATCCTAGAGCAACTCAAAATTAAATTTAACTGTGAAAAAAACCCTTTTTTATTACATTTGTGATACCAGGGAAAAGATTTCCTTGGCTGTTTCATTTGGGCAATTCCCTAAAGTTCATGTGCAAGCAGATTAATATTAACTAAAACACAGCTTTCTTGAACTAAACCCATAGAAAGCACCAAGAAGGAGAAAATTGTACCAATGGCTATGAAGTCAAACCATCTCACCTGATTTGGGAAGATAAATTCCTTCTGTCACAGACAAATGGATACAAAGGAACACAATAACTCACAGAGCAGAGTTAATCCCTTCTCTCAAGACTTCAGTGGTATTACAAATACTTTTTTTTTTTTTAATTCAGGTTGTAAAATAAAATACTCTTCCAAAATGAAATTCATACAGCAGGGGGTTTAAATTGAAGGTGAACATCCAGAGCTTTGCTAAGCTGGAATGTTTGTGGGGTAAATGCAGCTCAGTGCAAAACTGGGCATTTCCTGATGCTGCTGGAAATAATGGGAAAAGAATGGAAGAATGGCTAATAGAAAAAGGAACAAAAGTTGACAGTGCAGGGACTTACAGCTGCCAGGGTGCTTGGGAACTCTTCTGCAGCTCGTGGATCTCAGCTTCCTGGGGAGAGCAGGACCTAGGAACTGATAAGGATTGGGAATATCCCAAATGGAAAACTGCCTGTTCACAGGTAAACCTGAAATTGAGCATTAATACAGATAAAATGTGCCCTAATATCTCCACCCATGGGGCCAAACACCTCAATGGCACGTGGAAGTTACAACACCTGGTGCCACAGAAGCTAAAATGCAATATTTCAGTGCTGACAAAGCATCAGATTTGTGCACAAAACATTTTTCTTATTGTGTCAGAAAACCCAAGCATTCAATTTTAACATCATTTCAAAACAGTTATTCCTTTATCACTTTCCAAGATAAAATATTTTATTAATTTTGAACAGAAGAAAGTTTTTCTCTTGGCTAATGTGAGCTGGCAGGACCAGCACAGCTGGACAGGAGGAGGTCACACACTGGATTTGAGGGGCCCAAAGGCTATTTAATAGTAAAAACAGAGGCAAATGACACAGGTCAGCTGAGCAAGCTCAAGGAGGGAAAGTAGTTCATAAAAAAAATACCATTTATACAAGTTAACTTTAACATATTCCACTGAAAGCAAATATTTAAAGGAATAACTTAAAAATGTGGTAATATCAGAGATAAATATCAGAGATGCTGTGTGAGAATATTAGAGATAAAAAGACCTACAAAGTTTCAAGAACATTGGGTAGAGAAAAAACAGCATCAAATTGTAGATAACAGTGATCAACCTCCTGAATTATTCTGAGAAAATACAGGGAGTTGTTGAACAGATAGAACATAAAAACACTGAGACTGGACGAGTCAAAGTTAAACAAACCCCGTGGGGAAATGCACACCCTGAAATATCCCTGAGCTGGGCCCTCAGGGCTGCCAGGAAAGTGCAGCAAAGGCAATCCCAAACTCCTCAGAAAGAGACTTGGAGTTTAAATACACAGAGGAGTTCCCTCTTTCTGTCTGGTTTTCTTTAATGAATCCCTCTTCTCTCTACTAGGCAACACAATTTGCCAGTGAGGCAAACACTAAAGCAGCTCATCAACATAAATAAATCAAGCACTAATTAGCCACATCCTTTCTGCCTGCTCCTCTGCCACACTGGTACTCCAATTTCATCATTCCAGCAGGTTCCTCTGGGCTGAAAATGGATGTACAGTTAAAAGTAACAAACCAAAAACTGCTGTTTGGGCTAAACAAAGTTTGAGTCAACTTGAAAGACTACTTAGCTAAATAAACCCAAATTCCACATAGCCTGTACTCCAGTTTAGCTCAAGTCTCTTCCTAATCAATTTAAAGACAGGTTTATAACTTACAGACAGCTGAAGATGGGTGTAGTTTATTTCACACTACAGGAGTTTAACCAAATTCCAACAGCTTTCTCACATCAATAAACCCATCAAATCCAGAGGGATGCTACTGCCTATGCAACAGCTCACATCCCATTATCAACACCATGAATGTGGATTTCATGCTACACTAAGTTCCATCCACTTACCAATACTTCAAACTAAATTATTTCCTTTGAAGAATTATTCCAAGTGCATTAAAGAGTTTGTCTATTATCACTCCTCACCCATCTGCTGTTAATTACAATGACTGAGACTTCTGGTCCTTCCAAACATTTAATATTATGCTAACTACTTTAAAGAAAGGGGAAAAAGAATGACATTAAAAAGATCAGAAAGGAAAAAAATACACATAAATTTTAATTCAGGTATGCTGAAATAATTCCAGCCTTTCAGAATAAATTCATGTTCTCCATGCCCCAACATCTGTGACACCAACCATTTCAAACTCCACTTTCTATTTTTAAACCAATTATCCATTTCTATTTGTAACACTCTACAACACACACAGAGTCAGCTCAGGAAAACAACATGAAACTTACTAAATGCCACTTCCCCTGAGTCCTTTTACCGTATTTTGCAATTTCACCACACTTTGGGAAGATGCATTATCTTGGTAACTCTGCAAACTCAACACCTCTTTTTACGGTTTGCGTATCTTCACTGTTGTGGTGGTTTGGAACAGCTTGGTTTATGATTAAGGGAAAAAATTACAGCAGTTAAGGGGAAAAAATGTGGTCAACCACTACAACTGTTTAACTGAGAACAGTAATTTCAGCTGTATTAAATAACTTGAAATAACTGTAAATGACTTCAAACACAAGCTGTAAATAACTTCAAACACCAAGGCCATGAGCAGGAGGGTCTAAGCCTTTCCACGCCGTCTACTTAAATGACTTCAAACACAAGCTGTAAATAACTTCAAACACCAAGGCCATGAGCAGGAGGGTCTAAGCCTTTCCACGCAGTCTACTAAAAAAGAAAGAAACAAAAAAACACCAACAATGAAACAAAAAAAAAAAGAAAAAAAAAGAAAAAAAAACTACCTAAAACCCAGAAAAAAAATCCCACCCCACATTACAAAGAGAAAAAACCTTCTCACCCACACTATGGAGCTACAGCAGCACTGCTCTGAGCAAAGCAACAGAAAAAAACAGGTGGGCTGATAAATCCCAGATACGGTGACAAATACCAGATCAGGTGATAAACAACAGGTGGGGCGATAAACAGCAGGTGGATGACGGCAGCAGGGTCAGAACCCGCCTCCCCTCGAGGCCCGGTGCAGGACGGCCTTGCGGGATGCACTCGGTCCCGACGGCCGCTCTGGGGAAACAGCAGCGCACAAGGGCAGGCAGAAAATAAAGGTGTAAAAAAAACCCGTAGCAAAGCGTGGGGTTGTTTGGGGTCTTGGGTTTTTTTTGTTGTTTTGGGGTTTTTTTTTTGTTGTTGTTTTGGGGTTTTTTTTGGGGGGGGGTTTCATTACCGGTGTGCTTTCAAGGCTGATGAGAACTCGGCGGGGCAGGGAAGAACGAGCTGCCTGGAGCTATAACCTAAAGCCAGAAAGGCGTGAGGGGGGCGATGAGGCGAGCACAGCCAGGCCAGCACCGGGTTCAGGGCACTGCCGGGCAGACTCCGGGGGCATTTACACAACTCACACCTGCCCCGGGCACTCTCGGCCCTCCTCAGGCATGGGACGCGCCGGCCGGGCGGGAGCCTCGGGCCCTGAGGGGAACTCGCAGGGCTCCCCCCGGCGGGGGCTGGAGGGGAGCTGAGGGCTCACCCCGGCGGGGGCTGTCGCTGTCCCCGGGGCTGTCGCTGTCCCCGGGTGTTGTCACTGTCCCCGGGTGTTGTCGCTGTCCCCGTCCCGGCCCCGCCGCCCCTCGGTCCCTGAGCGTGGCGCCGTTGCCATGGCAGCGCGGGAGAGGCCATTGAGCGCTGCCCTGTGGGGGGGGGGACAAGGAGAGAGATGATTCCGTGCCGGGGGCGCGGAGCTCGGCTGAGGGCACAGCTTCATTTATCACAGAACCGCGGAATAGTCTGGGTTGGAAGGGACATTAAAGATCACCTAGTGCCACTCCTGTCGTGGCGGGGACACTTCCCACTAGTTGCTGCTAGCCCCGCGCAACCTGGCCATGGACGCTTCCAGGGATGGGGCAGCCTGTGGGCGCGCTGTGCCCGGGCCTTGCCGCCCTCACAGGGAACAATTCTCTCCTTATCTAAACCTGCCTTCCATCAGTTTAAAACTATTACCCCCTTGTCCTGTCATCTAAACCCGCCTTCCATCAATTTAAAACTATTACACCCTTGTCCTGTCATCTAAACCTGCCTTCCATCAATTTAAAACAATTACTCCCTTGCCCAGTCACTCCAGGCCCTTCTAAAAAGTCCCTCTCCCTCTTTTTAATAAGCCCTCCCGTCTCGTTCCAACCTTTATTCCCGAACTTGTCAAAACATCGCCGTTTTTTCTTTGAATGCAGGCTTTTCCATGGTTTCGCTTTAACGTATTATTTACGCTCCACTCTGGAGGAAGCAATCTGCTCCTCCTGCTCATTTAGTGCCCTGCTTTAAATAGGAGTTTTTAAAATTTAGTTAAAATCTAAATCAACCTCGCTGAGCACAAGGAGGCTTCAAATGGCTTTTTTTACGAGTTATCCCATTATCCACACTAACCTTTAGTTAGTGCACAGGACTCACAGAGCTCAACATGCTTTTGATGTTTAATTTTTCACAAAAGCTCTGTTTATGCCCACCCTGTAGATTTGTGCAGTTGTAGGTCCACGCATCACATCTCAGCTCTTCCAGACCAGGTATTTATGTCTCTGCCAATAAATGATAATTCCCATGCCTCCCCCTCAAAGGACACCTGGAGTGCATGGCAATATTTGAGTTTTTATCATTATATTGTTGCAGTTTATTTGCTTTGAGTCCTGTCCTTCCAATTTTGGTGGCTTGACCATTTATTTAAAATTGATGCTCCTTTAGGGGGTAAACAACCTCCACAGAAAAGCTGGAGTTTCAGGAAAAAAAGCACTCCATGATCCAAGCCAGGATTTAATAAGGACAAAATATTATCTGTTTGAAACTTATGCACTCTAAGCTGTATTTCATTTGGCAAATTTGCATTTGTCCCATATATATTCAGGCTAGGAGGCACACAGTAACTTACCCCGTTTTTCTTCACTATAGAATCTGTCTGGCAGTAATTTTCCTTCATCATCCTGCTTACAGCACAGTTTTCAAGATTTTTTTTTTACTCTGACAGGCAATTTGAGTGGAGAGCCTGTGGAAACACATATGGATTTATGGATTTTTGGATCTTGAGAAGGAACTCAAGTAGTTTGCATAATGTGTAATCAAACCTGAAAATATTCTGTATTCTGGACCTTGCCTGGAGAGTTCTTTTGTAGCATTATAACACGTTCTTCCCTGCAGGAAAACCATGTTCTTAGTAACCAGATGAATACAGTTTTTAATATTTTATAATAATGCCTTACTGAAAGGCATCCCATTGTGCATGGGATACTTATCTGTTCTTTTCAAAGAAAGTAGAAGCAATACACTATTCTACATAAATGATGTTACCAATACTCAAGACTACTTTTAATTATGAAGTTTCCACTAGGAAAAATGCAATTTTAAATGTAAGATAACTTCCTGCAGAAACACTGGCACTGAGAATCCCAAACTTGAATGATTCAAACTGACTTTGTGAGCTCTGGATCAGGGACCTCAGCTGGAAGAGCATCAAGAGCCTGTTTTGTTCAGGTTTAGATTTACATGCATGGGAGATGAAGTCATGCAGGATTTGATGCTGGCATCCTCTACATAATCTTATTTGTAATTAGATTATTTAACTTCCAGCCATTGTATGTGTCTCCTCCAATGCTCAGTTGTATTTTTTGTTTCATTTACCAAGATCTGATTTTCATAAACATAATTCCCTATTTTTGCAATCAGCTTTCACAAATGTAGATCACACAAAGAAGTCAGTGCTTGCCTGATTTCTCCCAGAGTCACTTTTATTGGAAGTAAACATAAAGTTTATAAAGAAAATAAAAACTGAAATTCAACTCAGATCCATCTGGTGGAGTTGTACTATAAGTTATAAACCTTCTGTTGCCATTCTCTTCCTTTGTTCTCATACTACTTCTGACAAAAATGTACCAGATTTATTAACTTTTTAGGGCTTTTCATCCATATTAAAAGATTTTTAACTGTTTTTGAAGCTCTGTGTTTACAGCCACTGTTAGAAAGAACTCCTGAGCACAGAGGTGACTGAGGGACTGAGTGGCTTTTAGGGGTTTTACCAACCCACATTCCTATTTTTATTTACAATCCCTTACATTTGTTTCAGGCTTTAGTTGAGGTTCCAGATCAAAATTTCTGAGCTTGCAGGGCTATGAGTTACATTAATACTGGAAATGAAGAATGATCAGGAAATAGAATTTAATTTTTTCCAAGCCGCCTTTGATCACTTTTCACACACTTTCATGCAGTTCAAATTCCACTTTCATGACCATTTACCAAAGGCCAGTTTTAGAATGTCGTAAACCAGGATCTGCAGGAAATGAACTTTCAATTTGCTCTGGGACTTTCTGTTCTAATGACCAGGCAAGAAATAGAAGCAACATAATTTTACTTACCTGATGGCTTTCAATAAATACATTTTCAATAAAAGCAGGGTATTTTTAATCCTCAGGAGGAGATTGTGTTACTTATTAGTTGTGAATTATTTGCTCCATGTTTTCCCTCTTCCTCCCCTGTTTTTGGCTGCAGAGGCACGCTTGGAATGACAGCTACCAATCAGATGAAGATCTTTTACCTTTAGTCACATCAGATCCCATTTAAGATGGTCTGCAGTATTAAAACTATTTAAATTCAGGGAAACCCTGGACAGCTTCATCCCAGGAGAGGGCTAATTAAGTCCATTGGGGAGCAAAACCCAGGCAGGGTTTGATTTACTGCCAAAATTTCCATCACACATCCCAGAACAACACATGAAATTGCCATGTTCAGTAATTTTTTAGCATTCTTCATACAAATAAAAGATTTCCTTGCTCAGCCAGAGCTCCTGGTTTGATCAGAAAACTTGGGCTCAGCCAAGCACAGGCAGAAATGAGCTCAACACCTCCAAGCATCAGAATTTCCCTGATGAAAAGAGAAGTGTTCACCTCGAGGTGTGCAGTGCAGACCAGGCCATTAATTTGTGCCTTGAACTAAAAACACACGGTGCCTTTATTGGCCCTGCTTGCCCCCAAACTCAACCAAAAGTATCCAAAATTGGCGCCAAGTTGGGAGTTTTCTGTGAGGCCAGGTGATTTTCAGGTTTCACGACCATGTTTCAGGCTCTGTGACCTGCAGCCTGCACATCTGAAGGCAAAGCAGGCTGATACCTCCGAGGAAAAGCATTTTGCTGTAAGAAATGGGAGGATTATTTCCAGTGAATACCGCTGCTGGGTAGTGTTTCATTTGTTCACTTTATGAGGATAAAAAAAAGGAACTCGTTTTAAGCCATTCAGGTTTAAGACAGGCTTTATCTCCCTGGTTGGAGGGAAAGATTAGCACTTATTAGAGCCTAATCTTAATGATATCCATTTATAAATAGAGCCTCAAATTGTCTAAAATATTTAAACATGATGAAATGTAAAGACTTAAGACAGCTGAAGTCTTTACAGAGAAAAAAAAAAAATTGAAAACCTGAAGATTTATCTACAAAGATTAAAGCAGCTTTAATGGCAAAGCCCTAAGAAAATAAAAGAAAATATCAGAAGAAAAAGGAATATTTTGCTGTCTGTACAAGGCAAATTAAGTTATAGACATGGTAAAATGGCTTAAGAAATTATAAAA